GATCAGACCAAACCAGACCAGACCAGACCAGACAGTCCAAATAAAAACATCCTTAATTTTGTATTTGCAGTTGGCGCTTAATAAAAAGTAGACCTAGAACTTCCCGCCGAAATAAACTTAGGGATGCCTCCTTCCTTCCAACTCTTACTCATCCCATCTCTAATTAGGTCCCCTCATTCTTCTAAATCTCTAATTAGCGGAATCCATCTTCTCCAACCTATTCAATGAAGGCACGAAATCCCCTGCCTCCAAGCCCCCAACCGCCGTCCGTCGCCAAGGCTACCTCTGTTTAGGCATCTGGAGCCGCCAGTGGCCACCGCAGCACTCTAGCAGCCCAGCACCGCACCTCCGCACGTCTAGCACCTTCACTACACCCATTCACACGTTAACAGGCAGTCAGGCAACACTCATCAACGCAGCTCACGTCCTTAGCCTCGCAGGTATGTTTATCTAACGGCTATACTAGTGGAAGGTTTGATCTAATTCCTATGTTTAATTCTAATTTTATGTTGTTTAATCATCCATACATGAAATAAATTCCAATTTAATTTTGAAAACAAGTACTCGTATAATTCATATATTGGATTTAATTTAGGCATTTTAAGTTTTTAGGAGAATTTAGTCACTTGAAACTATGGATTCTTTAATTGATTTTGATCTTTTCCAGTATGTAGTTTCTTGTGTTTTATATGCTTAAATAAGGTTTAATTAAGTTAGGGGGCTGGGGCTGGTCTGTTTAAGGCACTCTTTGTTTGCCAAGTTTTCCAATCCCTTTCTTGAAAATCAGATCCCTCACGCTCTTGAGATTAGGATACCCATATGTGATGTAAGGCCCCAGCTTCTGCAAAATTCCTAATGTTTTTTTTTATGATTCATTCATTCCCATTTAGATTGAAAGCAACACACACATCATTAGTTAGGAATAATAAGACTATTCAACCTTTCGGACAATCTGGACAACAATATTCCTGTTGGCCTATCATGGTTACACCGTATAATTTGCCTCCATCAATGTGTATGAAAGATCCTTATATGTTTCTGAGTGTAATAGTTCCCGGACCCGATAATCCTAAACATAAGTTGGATGTCTTTCTTCAACCTCTTATTGCCGAGCTAAAGAATTTATGGGAAGAAGGCGTTCTTACATATGATGTGTCTTTGAAGCAAAATTTTCAAATGAGAGCAGCTTTATTGTGGACGATAAGTGATTTTCCTGCATATTCTATGCTTTCCGGTTGGGGAACAGCAGGGAGAACAGCGTGTCCTCATTGTATGGAAGATTCTCAAGCATTTTATCTTCCTAATGGAAAGAAAATGTCTTGGTTTGACAACCATAGAAAGTTCCTTCCTCTTGATCATCCATTTCGACGAAACAAAAGTAAGTTCACAAGAAATCGTGTTGAAATGAGGCCTCCTCCTCCTATTAAGAGTGGGAGGCAAATTTTGCAAGAAATTGATGAATTCGGATTGTTGAATGTTGTAGAAGATGATGCTGAGGAAGTGAACAAGGAATGCAGCAGTATTTGTGGATGGAGAAAACGAAGCATCTTTTGGGATTTGCCCTATTGGAAAACTAATCTCATTCGACATAATCTTGATATCATGCATATCGAGAAAAATTTCTTTGAGAATGTGTTTAACACGGTAATGAATATAAAGGGAAAGACAAAAGATAATGTGCAAGCAAGGGAGGATATGAAACTCTTTTGTAATAGAAAGGAGTTACAAAAGAACCCCCTTACAGATAAGTACCCTAAAGCATGTTATTCATTAAATGATGATCAAAAGAAGGTCATATGCGAATGGGTAAAGAGTTTGAAGTTCCCAGATGGGTATGTCTCAAATCTTGGAAGATGTGTTGATATGAGCAAGCATAAATTGTTCGGCATGAAGAGTCATGATTGTCATGTTTTTATGCAAAGGCTAATGCCAATTGCTTTTCGAGAGATGTTGCCAAGTAAAGTATGGGAAGCACTAACTGAGCTTAGTCTTTTCTTCAAGAACTTAACTGCAACAACAATTAAAGTTGATGACATGGCTAGATTAGAAGCCGAAATTCCAATAATTCTTTGTAAGTTGGAGAGTTTATTTGTGCCTGGGTTTTTTAACCCGATGGAGCATCTACCTGTGCATTTGCCTTATGAAGCTAAGATCAGTGGCCCTGCACAATACCGATGGATGTATCGTTTCGAAAGGTAAAATTTATTATGCTTGATAAAAACATTAATTCCTCATTCTGTTTTAATAGCTAAGATGTTAATTTCTTTTTAGATATCTACATGAGTTGAAAAAGGATGTGAAAAATAAAGCTAAAGTTGAAGGATCGATTTGCAATGCCTTCTTAGTTCGCGAAGCGTCTAGTTTTTGTTCTCATTACTTCGAGCCACATGTTTATACTCGAAACCGTAAGGTTCCTCGAAATGATGATGGGGGAGGGAGTGAAGACATCACAGATACTTTGTCAATCTTTAAGCATCTTGGCCGTTTTAGTGGAAAAGTGAAGAAAAGAAGGTTGAGCAAAGAGGAATACTCAGCGGCGCATACTTACATATTGCTTAATTGTGAGGAGGTGCAACCTTTCATTGAGTAAGATTCAAGTCAAACTCAAAATATATTCAATTAGGTTTTGATGTTTTAAATTTTAATAATATTCCTTTAATTATTAATAGGAAGTATGAGCAATTCTTAAAGGAATTTAGTCCTGATATAAGTGAAGAAAGTCTCGCAACTCAAGTGGAGCAACACTTTGCTTCTTGGTTTGAAGCTTATGTAAGAGTTTGAATAAAAAAACCTCAACTTATTTTTTAAATTATTACTATTTTATCTCATATTGTATTCTTTATATCTTAGGCCCGCGAAAACGAAATTGGAAATACATATATATATGATCTGTCTAGAAGACCACTGGCAACAGTGAAATCATACCCCGTGTATTTCATAAATGGGTATAAATTTCACACAGAAGCATATGGTGTGAATAGATCAACAATGAACTATGGCATTTGTATAACTGGAGCATATGGTGACTACTATGGAAAGTTGTTGGAAATACTAGAAGTTGAGTACCCAGCTTTGCCACTGAAACGTACTGTGTTGTTTAAATGTGAATGGTATGATCCCACTCCTAACATTGGAGTAAGAGTTCACAAACAATACAATTTGGTGGAACTCAATCAAAGGAGAAGGTTCAATAAATTTGAGCCATTTATTTTAGCAATGCAAGCTTCTCAAGTTAGTTTTGTGTCTTATCCTACCACAAAACGAGGCCAATCAGATTGGTTTGCTGTATGTAAAATTAAACCAAGGGGGTGGATTGATAGCTCGGTTACCGAAACTGGTCACTCAAAAGATGTTTTTCAAGAAGATGGGTGTGAAGCAATTCAAATCACAGATTCTATAGATGAGTCAATTGCTACATTATGTGATTCAAACATTGATATGGATATTCCTGATGGAGATTCTGAAAATGACGAGGAAGTTAATGAATTCACATCAAGTTCATCCAGTAGTGAAAGTGAAGATGAGAATGATTATAATTCTGATAGTGATTAGCAATATGATCTATTTATTCTTTTTACCATTATAATTTCAATGTTAAATATCTCCTATAATCCATTATTCCGCTATGAATACCTCTGTACTTGCGATGATTCCCCAGATTCCGAACGTTTTTCAATTTTTTCATTCTTCTAATTCTTCAATCTTCCATAATCTTTGATTTTGCATTGGCAAACACCAGAATAGACTTGAAAAGTATGTGTTTACTTCTGATGCTTTTTGTAAGTTCACAATGTAATGAGTTGGACTCCTTTGTAGTATTTACGAACTGGACTGCAGAATTTTAGTTCTAACTTTTAAATGGAAGTCATTGGTTGGTGTTAATACTGAGCAGTTCTAGCTTAGAGGCTCGGATTGGGAAAAGGTGGATTGGGGATGGCCCCAGAAGGTTCACTGATAAATTTTTGAAGTAATGACTTTTTAATGTTATTTATGAACTTGCGTAGCCATTAAATTCTTGTTATGATTTTTAACAGCGTGGTATATTACTCAGGTATTTTTTATTATTTAAGGGTAATGATATATATATATATATATATATATATATATATATATATATATATATATGTGTGTGTGTGTGTGTGAGCAGATTTTTTGTTGTGATTTGAGCTGATTGTTTTAGGTATAGAAATTTTACTGAGTTGCATCAAACATATTTTGATTATACCAAAATGGTCAATTTCAACCGGTTATGAGGTGAATCAGGTGACTTGAGAAGTTGCATTTGCCTCCTTGGAGTCTCTTGTTCCATATCAACCGGGTGATGCTAAGCGTGTAGTTGAACTCATCTCTTGAACTTGCAAAATTTATATATATATATATATATATATATATATATATATATATATATATATATATATATATATTGTTTTGATACTATATTTGCTAGGTGTCTCAGTACTTTGTGAATTTAAATGGCAGCATATAAACACAAAATGTAGTCATTTTTTGCAGGAAAATGTCTAAGTTGCCACCATGTGGTCGAGTACCAACCAAACGTAAGCGACCAGGAACTCTAGTGCCCAGATTTGTGAGTCGCGTGCCATCACCATCCACTCCATCATTTGGTACTTCGTCAGCTACTCCACCATCATCCACTCCATCACTTGGTTCATCGTCAACTACTCCCCAAGTTGGCTCATCATCTTCCAGTCCACCTCGTGATTTATCACAATCTACTCCATCTCCCAATACCTCCACTCATGCTGGTACTGATACAACTGTCTCAAATAATAATTCAGAGCAACCACTCCATGTTATTGGGTTTATAGGATCAAATGGTCGTTTGTGCGTTGGAGTTAAAAAAAAGCAGTAAGTGTTAAGTTTATTAATATTCATTTCTTTATCTGATAGTAAATGTTTCAAATTATATTCTTTCATTATACAGATTACTTCCTTCTGAAGAATGTTCTCGAAAGATTACTTCTCTTTTCAAGGAAAGGGTTGATCCTCATGGTTACTCATGGGCTAACTTAAGTGAAGATATAATAAAGTTTTATTGGGATGAGTTTAAGGTAATTTTTCAATCACTTATCTTATATTTTGTATTTTTAACTATGAACAATCAAGAAAAGATAATTGGCAGCAAACAATTATTATATTTGAGTTGACTTATATTAAATTTACAATGAATTGTAGAAGCATTGCTATTGGAATCCTATAATAGAATCTTCAGTAAAGGCAGCGTGGACTACAAAAGCTAAACAAAGATATTCCAATTATCTCAGTAATATGAAAACAGGAAGATGTCAGAGGAATTCATCAATCACTCAAGAAGTTTGGGACAGTTGGATGACTATGTGGAGTAGTGAAGAATTTCAGAAGAAATCTAATCAAAGCAAAAAAAATAGGCGTCAAGGTGAATTAGAGAAGACTGCCCCCTCTACTCATACTAGTGGAGCCATATCACATGCCAAAGTTGCCTGTCAAATTGTAAGTTTATTGAAACTACTTTTTGTTGTTTTTTTGCTATCAACTCATGATTTATTTGACAAAACTTGCTATACATAAATAACGATACTAATAAATTACTATTATTATTTTTATTACATAATAAACACTCCTTTTATCTAAAGCATGCACCTTGTGGTCCACGTTAAAAAGGAAAACTTCCTAATTGAAAGAGCTTTTACTCGTAATCAATCTTTACTGGCCTCAACAAAGACCCCTTAAACCCCAGGAAAAAAAGCTCTCATCTTCATATCAGTACAAGTACTTAGCTTGCAATTGTTTCCATAAAAACACCTTCCTTGAGCATAATGCCAACACGGGTGTTGCTTCATTGATTGACCTCTTCTAGCTGGATAAGGATTTTCATTAAATTCCAACTGTGAAGAGGGGGTGGAGCTGGTGGGAAGTAGTTTGCCCCCACTTGGTTACTTTTATTTGTAACTGCTACCATAGGTTGCCAAAGTGTTCAAATTAGCATCACTCAAAGGTTGCCTTTGACTGTGATGCCTCTTCAAAGATTGTTTAGAGCCCCTTCAAAATGTCTAATATTGTGATTCACATGATATTTATTGTTTGATTACTCTAATTCTCTAACATTGTACGTTACAAATGATTATTATGTAGGAAAAGGACACCCAAGCTACCGTGACAAGTTATCAGGTTTTTTTGTATACACATACAAAGAATCACGATGGAGAGACTTTTATAAATGATCAGGCTAAAGAAGTGAATGTATGTATTTTTTTTAAAATATTATTATTATTTTTTATACAATTTGCTCTTATATTAATTCAATAAAATAATATAGGATGAATTTGTTTCACGTCGTGAGGAGCTAATTGATATTGGTGAGGAAGTAGATGATGATGAGCTGTTCTATGATGTTGTTGGTGGACCTGACTCAAAGAATAGATTGTATGGAACTGGCTCATATGGTACACAAAATATTCATCGTAAAGCCTCAGAGTACTCTTCTGAAATGGACAGTTCATCACCACAATGCAGTAGTGCTGAAATTAATCATTTGAAAGCTGAGGTGGAACGTTTGCAAAAGATCACGGAACAACAAAAGGAATTTCAACAGCAAGCAGAACAAAAGCAACAAAAAACGGATGCTGTCATATGTGCTTTACAAGAGCAGATTGAAACTTTAGCTCGTAATAGATAGAGTTTTTTTTAAGATAATGGTCAATTTTAGTTAGTCATTTGATTACTAGTATTCTTAAAGACGTATTCATTATTTGAGACATTATTTTTGTTACCAGGAGGTCGGACAACCCATTCTTTATAGTTTATAAAATTTTGTTATTAAATTATTTGAGACATTACTATTGATATTCATCGTTGTTATAATCTAGTTGTACTGTTGTATGGTTTAAAAATATTATTTTATACAGGCTGCAACAAAATGTAGGTTGTTATAGTTTTTACAAAATATGTGCAAGAGAAACGTGCAATGAGCATTTATTGTAATTCGGCCATTAACATCGCAACAAAAATTCATTTCATTGCACTTTTGCAACACAAAATAAACTTAACTACGGTTAAACCCGTTGCAAATTTGCAACGTAACTTGCAATAACGTATGAAATTTTGTTGCAAACATTGCAATTGAAACTGCAACTACATTTCCATTGCATTTTTTTGCAACGGAAAAACTCATTGCAATATTAGCTATGGAAAATGCAACAGAATATGATTGTTGCAAACAAAATGCAACGGAAACACATGCGTTGCTTTTTCCGTTGCATATCATTGCAACGGATTGAACCAGCGTTGCAAATAATTGCAAGGACGTGAAATGCAACGGAATTTCGTCCATAGCATTTGTTGTTGCAAAACACAAATTGCAACGGAAATTGAACATTTTGCAATGGAAATGTGCATTGCAATTCGGCATTTTTCTTGTAGTGGTAATGCTCAACGATATGATTCATAAAAGGAATATATTAAATGTTTCAGATATCTCTTACACTAATTAATATTTTTGTTTCAAATACACAATATATATATATAATAGTGATACTTAAATTTAACGGAAACATTGACATTTCTTGTCGATAATACGTGCATAAGAATAAAAGTGTTTAAAGTACCGCTAGTTTTGACTAATATCGATAATTTATTGAAAAATAAGAATATAATTTTATAACTATGAAAACAGGGTATATGTCGGAAATATAGAGAAAAAGTGTCGTGGAAATATCAAGATATATATTTCAATTTACTGCTTATGCAAATATCATAATGTCTATATAAAAAACCATTTATTTCTTAATTAGACCTAATCTTTAAACATTACAGAGTACTACGTGTAACGCCCCTCTCAGGGTTAACGGAAACGTTACACTAACTTACTACTTTTAAAAATAACTGCAATATAATGGCCATCTATTTAAGAAAATAACCCTGATAAAATCTCAAATATAACTAAAATATAGCTCCAAATAAAAACTCAATAAAATCTAGTTATCACCAGCAAATGTGATAACCACCTGGATCCAGGAATTTATTCAAACTTCAAATAATCCAAATAAATACTCCAAACTTAATCAAATAATATCAATCACTTTTTATAAATTTGAAACACTTCAATAAAATAAACTAGCTAGGAGCCGCCAAGGTCGTTCCCGTTAACTCATCTTGGCACGCGTTCCACTCTCTCATCATCTTCCTAGGCCTTGGCCTTACCTTTACTATCTGTACATGCGAAGAAAGAAAACTGATAAGCTTTACGCTTAGTAAGTCACTATGGCTCCACAAAAATATCTAGAAGTCTATGTCAATTTATCAATAGATAAATTTAGGCTATAAGCATGCACTGAACAATTAACTAACACATAACTTTTCAAATACATTCTGAGAGAGATCTCAAAGGAAAATATTTTCTAAAATATTTTTTCTCAAAACTGCTGGAGAGATCTCAAAATTTCTTTCTCAAAACATCTCTGTAAAACTTTCTGAAAGAGATCTCAACACAACTTTCTGTAAAACTTTCTGAAAGAGATCTCATAAACTTTCTGTAAAACTCTTTGTGGCTAATTTTAACTGTGGGCCCGTGATATGTACTCAAAGGCGCCAATCCGACAGCTCAGGGGAGCGACCCACTAAACATATCGGACTCTCTGAAACTGATAAGCTGATAACTGATAAACTGAGGGAACTTGTTCCCGAGTACATATCACCTGATCTTTCACTTTAAGTATTAGTTCTTTTTATGGTGACGTTTGACTAAAAATATCATTTATTCTGAAACAAAAGTACCAACAAATCTTGACTATGCCAGATAATAAACATAACTTAATCTAGCAAATAACATAACTCATCACATAATTCACATAGTTCACATAATAGCAAATAGTCTAAAATTATCTATTAAATATCAACCAGACTTCTTTCTTGCATTTGGTTGAACAAACATGTACAGGTGGTAGTGAACTTACCTGTTAACCGTTGAACTCAGATACTCAAATAAGTGTGGCATCTTGGTAACGGATCCCGGTAAGCTCTTCTCTTAAATCTTTCATTAAATGAATGAATTGCAAATTAGACATCTCCCTATTTTAGTCATTATCCAGAATAATAATAATAAGTCCTTTGGTTTGAAAATACCCGAGGAGAGAATCTGATATTCTTCCTGGGAGTTTTTCCTTAAAACATTCTGAAGCTAAAACTTTAGGTGATAGAATTTTACTACTTGTAGAATTAAAATTTTGAAACAGGAATGAAGTTGGCTGGGAACTAAGTGCAGGAACAGAAAACCAAATATAAATCCCAGACTGAAGGGCTGCTCTAATCTTTCTTTTCTTTTATCTAGCTTCTACTAATAACTAAAAGAAAACATAAATTTTAAAATTTGGAAACCTTTATGCAGTAAACCCTCTTTAAAAATTAAATTTAAAATACAATATTTGCAGCTTTTGGCTTACCAAAGTGAAATTCAAAGCTAAGATTTATTGAAGGATAATTGATTTTAACTAAAGATTTACCGGTGACACTTTGAGAAATTGATACAGTTATCCTTAATGACAAACATAAGCTGATTAAACTGTATAGTTTCAGAACCGTGGGATGTTATGAAAATCCCAGTTCCAACAACAAATTTAACAAGAATTGGGAGCATTACTCATGAACAGACATGAAGCTATTGTCCAATTTAAAACTTTCAACACAAAGAAACAGCCCATGATTTAGAAAAAGACGACACCCAGCCTCCAAAAACAATTTGACCTCACTTGAAGAAAGTCATAACTGCCAAAACCCAATTCCATTAATACGAACGATATGATATATCTTGGTTTTAATACTCGGATGAACTAAATGAGTGAAATAAAGAATTCTAGAGGCAATCTATGAAGATTAATACCTGGAATCAGTTTGCTATAAAGGAACAACAAAATCTTTGTTGTTTGAGATGGAAATCCAAAACCGAATAAGTAGCTTGGTATGGAAGAAGAGATGAACTTTGAGAAGTGCGGCTGGGAAAGGAAAACGTAGGTAGAACTTATGGTTGAGATGTCGTGTGTATATCTATATCATACTCCTTTCTAGGGCTTTTTGAGTAACATCCTAATTTGGGCTAAAGATAACTGATTTGGGTTTCTAAATCTTCAACAAGAAATACTTTTGACTCAACTGAATATTATATTCTAATTAACTTTCAGGATAAACTAATAAAACCAATACTATTAATTATTTCTTAAAATTGTTGGAGCTTACCGGTCAACGTTACCTGCCACAAACACAACACGTTGAATAATATATCACATTATTCATAGAAGAAACTTACTTAGCTGACTAAAATAAATAATAATGATTAATATAACTAGCTCATAAAAATCGGGGTGTTACACTACGTATCTAATAGATATTATTTTGGGAAAAAAACTAATAATGAAGACATATATAGTGAAAGACGAATATTTTTTGTCATATCGATGACAAGTTTCTCTAACTTCTTATATGTTTTAATTGGTTTTCTTGAATTTTCTTTTCTTTAACCGTTTGTAGTAAATTTGTAATCATGTGAATAATATTCTTGAAAGCAAGAGCATCTCCGGTGGAGAGGTTCATTGCAACTCCACATCACTAAATGTCCTTTTCTGTTACAAATGTTTTTCCCAATGCAAAAAAAAAGGTCTAGTCAAGCTTATGTGGCAACCGGAAAAGAACAACTCAGTCTCACCAAGGTCTCTTTTGCGACCTTAGATGCCACTTGCCACCTCCTGACAGGTTAAGAGTGGAAAGTGTGGGTCTATGTGCAAGGACACTCACTTTATTTTAGTTTCTTTTGTTATGTTTTTTCTTTTAGTTTTTGTTCTTGCATTGGAGAGGTCTCCGAATGAACTCTCCATTTTGTAATATTTGGCCCACGTGATATATACACCATGTGAAAAATCTTGCCCTAAATATCTTTTAGGTTCATTGTCTTTCAAGTGATTGTATACGATAATATGAAGGCGTGCACTTCAAGAAGTGAGGTGTTGGTATCATTGAACCTTAAAATCAAGAAGCAAAATAAAACTGAAAAGTGAGAAGAAAATCTATGAAACAAGGATATGAAAAAACTACATGGCATTTAATTCAAAGAGTTACAGATGCAAATTTTAATTCGCATAGAGCAGCCCTTCAGCTCACAGTAGTACTCCTTCCGGATTACACAAAAGATGATGTGATTTTCGTGGAGCAAAATCTGGCCACATAAGTAATCTGTAAGACTAATTCTAGCCTGGACCTTATTTTATTTGAAAAGTTCTTTCCCAAATAATCATTTCATATGTTTCAAGTATAAGAGTTTTTTTAGCTCGGTTAAAAACGGTAGGGGGGAGCTTGTTTTTTAGGGCAGTGAATACACATGTGTATATTGACCAAATTAGTCACTTATGAAGTAGCTAACCCCAAAAAAATGACTATCATTTACAAATTACAAATAGTCAAGGCAATATATGTACATCATTTACATATGTTCCAGACCTTCTGTCCAACTACAATAACCAATATATGCAAACTAAAATAAGAAACAAAAAAGTTGGAATGTTGTCAAAGTGAGCAGCCAATGTTTGTGAAAAAGGTTTCACTGTTGTGGACTTCAACAATTGTGGGAACTCACGGCTAGTACCTAACTTGCTGGCCTGGCTATGGCTATGACCATCAGTATACTCTAAAGCAGGCGAGGTTTTACTTTAATGCTATGGTTGGTTGAAGCATAGGATGAGTTAGTTTTTGCAAAATCTTTTAGAGTAATATTTTTCATTTTTAATATTTAGCCTACCTCAGTAATGTTTAAGTGTGGTATAACAAATCTTCAGCATAGTCCAATTTGGATTTCTGGATCGCCCCTGCTCTAAAGATTGTTGCTGTTTTTTACAATAACTTCTGTGACTCTAAACTTTCTCTTAGGTGCTGATACTGAACATGCTTATCTTCCAACTGCAATTGGGAAAACATTTCCACAATTAGTCAAACAACATGTGTCATTTATCTAGAGGAATAAAGTTCTTATCTGAAACGGTCATACAAAGTAACATAAATATGCATGAAACAATGTTATTAATCTCATCATTAACATGACCTTGTTGAACTAGTGAACTATAGCCTACGACTACATATAATGGTTCTCTACCATGCCCACTAGCATGAGCTTATCGTGTCTACTAATTTTCTAAAATGAGTTAATCCCCCCCCCCCCCCCGGACCATAAAAGGAATCCAGGTTTATAACACTTAGCTTCTCGCTCCCAAAAAAAGGTCGTCTTGATCTAAAAGTTGTCAAAGAGAGTCAAAAACAAGTGTAATATGCTAAATATGGTTAGAACAACAAATGGTCTAACAAATTAGAAATATATGTAAGCTTCATAGTTTGTGACACTTTTACGTTTCCAGACTAAAAAGTCATTCAAAGATGGATATTTTTTATATGAAATACTATAAATGCATGCAAGATGCAAAAAAGTAAAGTGATAAGTCTACATCACGAGGTCATGATCTTCTTATGAAGGATTGATGTGATGCAATATTAAAAAATTATGAGATGACAATTCACTAGGGGGGAAAAAGATCTATATATACAGTCAAATAAACATATTGTCCAGACCCATCTACGGGTTGCATCTATAAGTGATGCAACAGAGCCTTTTATATTATTATTAAATTATTAATATAATAATATTATTGTTAATTTTATGTTGAGTCTTTACTTTTTGGGATTGTTTTATTTTTATGGCATATATAAAGGTAGAAAAGATGGAATGATAATGTAACATTTTTATGTAATTACTCTTCTTGGATGCACAAAAGTACAGTCATCCATCTTCCACCCCTAGGGCGGGAAGTTTTGATTTCTTGCTTTGCTCACAAAGTCACAATAGCTTTAATTTGGATTATTTTCTCCCCCCCCCCCCCCCCATGTTCCCAAAGACTTTGGACTGGATTGTGTAAGGTGGTGGCACATCCATGACCATGGCTACCGTTGAAACTAGAAACTTTCAAGAGTTTCATGGAGAACATCAACCAATGACAAGAAACCTTAGAGACAAAGTAAAAAGAATTATAGTCACATTTTCACGTGATCGTAGCCAATGCAGTCCAGGTTTTTATTGTACACAGGTGTGCAGATCTACACTTTGAGGTTATTGGCATTTCCTTCATAAGAGATTCTTATGTTCTATTAGCCAATATTGAAATGATCCTAAGGATCAAATGGTGTTACACCTCTAGCAGTGCTTAGCATCAACCTCACATTTTTCACTCACCAACTTTTGATCTTCCATTTATCACCGAGTGTGATGGACCTGCACAAGATTCAAGACAGTCCTGCAACAAGCCGTGCATCACATTGCTCACTTTGGCTAATAGCCATAACATTGCGGGTTGGCCTGTCAAACTAGCCGTCTATAAGAGAAAACTATTGGCCAAAGCAGAGTGCCTTCAAGGACTGTGTTTGTATAGAAGGGGCAAGAGTGTCTGTTACATATATACCATTACTTCAGTCTAAATTATTAGAGCAATAACTCACTACTTTTTCTAACAACATTAGCTCAGTTAATCCCCTAATGGAATGGATTGAAAGACAAATGAAGGTGGTGAGTCGCACCATGATAATGATTCTTGGTTGCGGGACATGCGAGTTTCCACGAGACTATGTTTGATGGCTGTCGCGGGTCAAATATTGCTACAATACTTCATTCCAACCTCTTCAGGCGATACTCCCTCCCACTTGGTGTATGGTCATGATCCCCCATAGCTCATCTCAGAGTCTCATATACTCCAGGCATGGGGTGGATGTTGTCGACTGTGCGGCTAAAGCCCTTTTGCTCCAAGCGGTGAAAGCGCTTAGAGCAAATGGAGCTCCAATGTGATAAAGGATGCCAGGACTTAAGCTTCGCCTCGGGAATGGGTTTAGCTTCAAATTCATCCTATCACTAGCCTTATATTGTATGTCGCCATCATAAATTCTTTAGTCCATTTCAAATTTTGGAACCCATTAACCAAACCTCAAATAGGTTGGTTTTTCCCCCACAATACTTACTACACATAATAGTATATCTTGCACATCTCATTATTCGAACCACACAAGGTACCAATTCGCACCATGGGTGTGTCACCTCTATTGGAGAGTGCACTAGCTATGCTCCGACCCTTATCAGTCTTGTGTGTGCATAATAAAAGAGGCATCATTGAGCTCATCATCAAGTGGTCTGGAGTGTTGGACAGTTAGCATGGAAGCTACATGGGAGAGATTCAAACTCTTCTGAAGAGTTACTAAGATTTCAAACTTGATGAGTCCAAGCTCTTCAATAATGTTGGGAGTCATTTTAGCTCACATCTACATGGTCGCATCTATCAACGACATAAAGAGCGGAGAAGGGGTTGGACCATGAGACATGAAGTGTTGCCTGAGTTTTATAAAGTTGTTTCCTAATACTTGGGTTTTTCTATTTGTAATATTGTTATGTTTCATCCTAATTAATACGTAGTAATTTAATACGAGTTGTAATAGTTCTAGATTCTATTTATTATGGAATGGTAACCTTTTGTGGCCTGCTGACCTATACAAGGCAGAATAGCTAAAATAATAATTTATCGTTTTTAAATAATTATTCTTCCTTTCTAAGAGCGGACAGGTTATTTGGATTTCTTACTTCAATCACCATTGATTCACAAACTTTTCTTCCCCTAAGTTCCCAACGACCTTGATCTAAATCACGTATGGTGGCCTTACATGCACATAATGAGGAATAACCAGAAGGTCCAGAGTTTTTGCTAGTATATTTAATCTAGACTATAGAAGTATATTCTATTTTGCTTATGTGAATCAATCAAGTACAGTTACTTAAAAAACAATGAATACGGATTCCAACAACAACACATGCAGTGACTACAAGTTTACACTCATATGAGACTCACCGTTTGTGTTGTTGATACATGTCCACTGTAAACTGTCAGCTGGCTTGTCTCACTGGATTGAGATAATTTTTTAATTAACTCTTTTGTATGATTATAAATGCTGCAAATGCAACGAATTATTAGACATAAATAGAAATATTTAAGTAGGTAAATTAATGACACTACTACAAATTGAACAATATGCTAACGGTTCCAAGTGCGAGTTTTTTTCTTCAGCTTTTTAAACCAGACTTCAAGTTATTGCTCTTTTAATAAGGATACCATGATTTGAAAAGGGAAATTGTAATCTTACGAGTATGAAATCATATAGAGCAAACAAATTATTATATATGATGAACATTTAGTTCAAAGATGGACTTCAGATATTATATGCTAAACATAAATCGATAAGAGAGAAATAGATGAGAAAATAAGTGGGCTCTCTGAGTTGTTTTGTATAACAGAATTAAGAAAGAAAGAAAAAAGAGAAAGAAATGGATGATACTTTAAATTTGTCAAAAACTCCCTTTCGCTTATATCTAAAGATGGTACACAATAAAAGCAAGGATGAAAAGATAAATATAAAAAATGGATCAATTATATTCCATTTCCTTGCTTCATTTGAGAAAGAAATACTACCATCTCGCCCACTTTTTTCTTTTTTCTCGTCCATTACCCTCCTGCAAAAAACTATGGAGTAATACTAAGAAATACATAATGATTTATTTCTTTCCTTCTATGTCTATCTTCCCTATTTCTTTCCTCTCTATTTCTACCCAAACAAATTAAGAATAATTTCAATTGTTCAATCATGATTCATGAAAAATGTTAACCTTGTGCTACATGAGTCGTGGTTACACTAAGATTAGAAGCATGTACTAGGGAAAAGTAATGATAATCCCACCTTAAGCGATGCCGGTTGCAGGCCATGAGGAAGGCAACAAGACCATTGAGAATGCTTCGAAGAGCACGAAAAATCTGCTCACCAAGTAAAGTTGGAATGCAATACTAGATGTGCCAATGAGAGTGTGCCAAAAGGTATTCATAATAATGGCAAGAAGCTAACCAACCTGGGAGAAAAGGTCATTCCAAAGGGAACGCCATGCGGAAACCTCAGCTGAGGTCACCGTGGACTCAACCTCTGAAGTGAGTCTGAGAATACTACTTGAAAACATCCATAAGTCTACAATCACTTCATGCATGAAAGAGCATACACCGGCACTAAGACTATAGCACCCCATGACCAAGCGAATAGGGTACAATAAGCATGTCCCTGCAATAAATGATTTAATGAGAACAATACAATAACCAAATAAGAAATTAAAATATGCAAATGTTTAAGTTATTTCCGTTCAAAAAAAGTCTTCTTTCACCAATGTAAGTAAGATCAACACCATAGGTTATAATCAAACCCAGCATCTTTTTAAATTTATATGTTGATATAACTAATCTTAACATGCTAAACCTTTTGGGGACATTATGTATAAAAAATACATAAAAATAATGAAAATTAGCTTATTTTGCCAAATAGGATGCTTTTAAGGGAAAATAAAAGTGAGTGTCATACGTATTATATACTTACTGACAGTCCCAAAAACTGATAGGATACACCACACTGGAAATAGTAGGACCTCGATAATGTTTCCTACGAGATTCAACAAACTCTCCAAAACTAACCATATCATTGAAAATAAACTATCCGCCGCTTGATCACACAAGTTCCAAAACGGAAGGAAGAATTCCAAAAACTCAGAAAATGGTCCTGTAAATGGTTGTGTGAGAATTGATAGAAAAGACTGAACAGTACGCGTCATTGAGAGAAACCACTTAAAGGCCTTCTCAAAATTGTGGAGAAACAACATTGTCCCCAAGTATCTAATTCTTGATATCATTTCCCATGTTTCTATCCAATCAAAAAAAGGTCCAAACACATGAGAAGCTGCTGATTTGATGAGAGGTACATTTTTGTACAGATCATAAAATCCTATTAGAACAGTAATGACAGAAATAAGAACATATAAGAATCTTGCTAAGGGGCACATCCACGGACGATAGATATGGCAAAGCCCAGGATAGGACTGTAGGAAGATGACCCATGATGGAAGCCCACACTCCAACAATGTAAGTAACCGCAAATCAGACATAATAGTGTCCTTTAATTTAAATGGGAGATCACGATCATTAAACCGAAACAAAATTAAAATATCCTTGTATTTCGTAGCTTCAACTATGTCATCCTCCAACGTAGATGAGTAGGGAGTCTGCTCACTGCAAGAATCATCAGGAATGTTGTCCAGTCTGTCACTGATAGTTTTTCTTCTCTTACAAGGTCCATTAGTTGTAGACGCCCTACTTGAAATTGCACTGACCTTAATGGTTTCTGGGAGCACACTGCAACTTTTACTTGTACAGATATATTTAGCTCCATTACTGAAACTATCAGCAGTAGCATCATTGGTATCTACTACACTAGTCCTTGAGAAATTTACTTGGGCATCATAAAATTCCTCCCCTACAGAAATAACAATGCAAAAATACATGGAAATAATTATCTACACAGTAATCAGAAATCAAAATTGCTTCACAAGGTATGTTGATGTCTGAACAAAAAGAAAAGCAATTATTTGGGCAAGTAGATAAAAATAAAAATAAATTAAGCAATTTAAGCTACATGCTCCCTCAGTGAAAATAAGTTATGCATACATGTTCATGTTTTATATATATCCGCATATGGCATAACCCTATTGATGAAAAAAGATATAGTTCCTTGTCTCATATTGAGTCATCTATGTATTCAGTTTTCCTCTTTCCTGAAACAGTGAGACACACATTAATTGTATTACATTTACTATTGCGCCGTTGGCCTTCTGGGCTTATGAAACAAGTATAATTTTTTATACAAGTAATTTCTATGTTGTCACGGTTCATACTGTAATGACTTTTCATTCCCTAGAAAAGTTGAAGAATTCCAATGTAAGAAAAGAAATAGTATAAAGTTACTTTTATTTATATGCAAAGACAGCCGACATGAACAAAAGTATACCAATAGTAGGGTCCAAATATTCTGTCATAGTACTTCGCTCAGCATGAGTCCCAGAGAACCATGAACGTATACATCT